CGATAGTTGCCTGGGTTATTTCTTGTGCCACTCTTAAATACTGGCGTTACTCTGCTTGCCTTCCATTCATACGGGAATATTCCGGTATTAATAGATGCAGTGAATATTCCTGTTAACGAGCGTGCAATAACACTTGCAGCTATCTTTAGGAATTTGTTTGGTATATTGTCCAAACCAGCTGACTTCTTATCATCTAATGTAGTCAGCAGTGATAAACTGAGTTAACGGAGGGAGTTTTGAGTGAGAAAGATTTATCAGTTGGTTTAAGATAAAATACTGGATCACGCACAAGAGCAGGAATATCGGAAGCAAGTTTTTCACCAATACCTGAGAGGTAGCTGTTAAATGTTTCAGCTATTTCTTCAGGTGCAGCTATTTCTCGCTCTTCAAAATCTAATTGTGATATCTTTTTAGTTTTGCTTACATTTCTAGAGCTTAGTTCATTTATAAGGTTCCATGTTTTTTTCATGTTGCCTTTACTCGATTCAAGATTATTCTTATAATAAGCTTGTTTAGTTTTTTTAATTTCATTATTAATGTGATTTCGAGTTTGTCGATATTGATGCCAGATTTTAGGATCATTGGATGTAACAGCTTTCTTTTTTAGGTAATCTCGGTTAAATAAAGGTTCCTCACGCTTAGGACAAGGTTCCTCACGCTGAGGACAAGGTTCCTGACGCTGAGGTCAAGGTTCCTCACCCTGAAAACAAGGTTCGCCCCGCTGAGGACAAGGTTCCTCACGCTGAGGACAACGTTCGTCACGCTGAGGACAAGGTTCCTCACCCTGAGCGCAAGGTTCCTCACGCTGAGGACAAGGTTTCTCACGCTGAGGACAAGGTTCCTCACGCTGAAGACAAGGTTCGCCCCGCTGAGGACAAGGTTCCTCACGCTGAGGACAAAGTTCGTCACGCTGAGGACAAGGTTCCTCACCCTGAGCGCAAGGTTCCTCACGCTGAGGACAAGGTTCCTCACGCTGAGGACAAGGTTCCTCAAGCAGAGGACAAGGTTCCTCACACTGAGCACAAGGTTACTCACGCTGAGGACAAGGTTCCTCACACTGAGGACAAGGTTCTTCACGCTGAGGACAAGGTTGCTCACCCTTATGACAAGGTTCCTCACGCTGAGGACAAGGTTCCTCACGCTGAGGAAAAGGTTCCTCACCATGACGACAAGGTTCCTCACGCTGAGGACAAGTTTCATCGCGCTGAGGACAAGGTTCCTCACGCTGAGGACAAGGTTCCTCACCCTGAGGACAAGGTTCGTCACGCTGAGGACAAGGTTCCCCACGCTGAGGACAAGGTTCTGAGTACAAGGTTCCTCACGCTGACGACAAGGTTTTTCTCGCTGAGCACAAGGTTTTCTCGCTGAGGACAAGGTTCCTCACGCTTAGGACAAGGTTCCTCAGGCTGAGGACAAGGTTCCTCACGCTGAGGACAAGGTTCCTCACGCTTATGACAAGGTTCCTAACGCTAAGGACAAGGTTTCTCACGCTGAGGACAAGGTTCCTCACGCAGAGGACAAGGTTCCTCACACTGAGCACAAGGTTACTCACGCTGAGGACAAGGTTCCTCACACTGAGGACAAGGTTCTTCACGCCGAGGACAAGGTTTTTCTCGCTGAGCACAAGGTTTTCTCGCTGAGGACAAGGTTCCTCACGCTTAGGACAAGGTTCCTCACGCTGAGGAGAAGGTTCCTCACGCTGAGGACAAGGTTCATCACGCTTATGACAAGGTTCCTAACGCTAAGGACAAGGTTCCTCACGCTGAGGACAAGGTTCCTCAGGCAGAGGACAAGGTTCCTCACACTGAGCACAAGGTTACTCACGCTGAGGACAAGGTTCCTCACACTGAGGACAAGGTTCTTCACGCTGAGGACAAGGTTGCTCACCCTTATGACAAGGTTCCTCACGCTGAGGACAAGGTTCCTCAC